ACATCACTTAAGGCAAAAACCTTTCTGATTTTCTTCTTTAAGTGGATTATAAATCCAATTAAACTCCACATTTGAACCAGATGGGATCTGCTATAGATCCCTTCTGGGTCCTAGGATCCACCGATTGGAAAAAGGCCCAGAAGACACTGCACCTGATGTGAGAAATCCAAAAAGTTAAATTCAGTTTATTTATATAGCGCCGATTCACAAAACATGTAATATCAACTCACTTTATAGAGATGATAAAGTATGATTGGTTGAAACCTTCTATCAAAGAAAACCAGCTGATTGCAACCAACACTTGCAAGACATGCTACTCATGCATGAGCTTGCGGCAATGATTTTCGCTTCAATTTGTCATTGACACTTCAGCAGTCACTCAAACCAAACATGCTTGTAGCAACAGTGGAGAAGAAAAAAAATCCCTTTTTACTGGAAGAAACCACCAGCAGTGTGATTGGCCATCTGTGGAGGCCGACTGGGGGTCAAGGAGATAGAAACAAACATACAAAAAGAAGTAGAAATACAACAGGTAACCGTTAACTAGCGCCACAGGTGGCCCAGTCAAGGAAAGACACAGCCAGGTAGATGGGCTCCAGGATGAAAGAGAGCACATACAGCTAGTTATAGTAAGAGAAACAGGACTACACTAAAGAAATAGGCACATCTATAAACAAAGGTATTGATAGCAGCAGGTCAGCTGATATTGTAATCCAGGATGGAGTCACAGTCAACAGGAACAGACCAGATGAAGCTACTCTGACAAAGAAAAAGCCAAGGGAACATAAGGTTATGAGTGGAACTTAACAAATACTACAGAATGGGAGAATATAGATAGAATGAGGCAGAATGATAAAACGTGTTTCCTATGTCCTACAGCAGCCTCACCATATAGCAGCATACAGTAAATGTAGAAAATAGCTCAAGATAAATTGACTCTTTTGGATGAGGTATGAAGAAGGTAGATCCAACCAGTAAAACTCTTCACAGCTGCTGCTGGTCATCTTCTACGCTTCAATGATATATGCTGGGTATAACTCCTGGCAGTGTACATGTTGTGTTCTCATCAACAAAATAGATGGGGAAAGTGGCGTGCCATTTAGGGAACTTTTTAATGGCTACTTGAAAAGATTCACAACTGATACAGCCTTCATTCCTAACTATACATTGTATCAATACGCGCAGTGCGCGACTAATTACTGCCGTATTACTACACAGAAAATAGTTCCTTTTTAACACAACAGTACAGGACCAAACTTTTTTGTCTGCAGAAATAATAATTGGGGCTGAGGTTCCCTTAATCCAGTTGTACTGGTCTAAGGTCAGGAAAAGGGCAGCAAACATCTCTGCAGACCCCAATAAACTAACACAGAAATAGTTTAGACTATTAAGCTCAAGTCAGTGTAGAGCACACTACTTACAAAACCAAGATGACATAGAGACAGTCTTGGGCTTAACATTCAGATTAGTACAGTATTTATTTTCACTAATATAACCAAATCTTCCTTTGTCAAAACATGTGTGTATGTATGTATGTATGGCCTGTTTACAATTAAATATCTTTATTGAGATCCAGGTTGAGCCAACGTTGATTTTCTTGTTTGTGTGCATAAACATAACAATTATAACTGATCCTCAGTCTGATTCTCAAAGATACTTGAACTGTTTTTTATAAGATGTAGAGAAATGTTGGTAAAGAGGACTGGAGCGTCATTTTTTGTGATCATTTCTGATTCATTACTAACTTAATTACATAAATAAAATACATTCAATTCAATACAGTCTGTTCATTCACACCATAAAGATGATTTTAAAGTCCCAATAATGTTTCATCGACACTTTATTACCTTGGTCTTTTGGCAAATATGGTCATCAAGCAGAGATTTTCAATCGACTCAATCCTACAAAACAGATAAAAAACAAATAAAAAAAAGAAAATCGATCCGTAGGAAACTTTTAAAGCTCAATATAACAGATTTTATTATTATAGATTTTATTTTTATAGGTATTATAGGTAATATTCTAAAAATAACTATTATCCTTGTTATCAGGGCTTGACAGGTCCTCTGAGTCAAATTTCAGCTTAGATTTATATAGATTTATTAGAATCCTGCATTAGATTCCTCCCACAGTCCAAAGACATGACTGCTAGGTTAATTGGGCTCTTGTAATCTCCTCTGAACTATAAATGTCTGGATAGGTCCATGTTCACGCCGTTTTCAAGCATCTGTTGCATCTACTTAAGCATATTTATTCACTTTAACACAGTTGTTTCAAGCTAGCAGGGGAGGAAGAAAACAATAATGTTAAAGTAACTAAATATGCTTAAGCAGATGCAAAAGGAACATCAATTTTTTTTTTTCACTGAGTGATGAACCGGATAACTGCCCATGGTAAAATCATTGCTGGAGGTAAACACCCCTTTGTTTACCTCCAATGATTTGATAACAGACTAAAATTTAAAATCTGCTGCAATTTTAAAGGAGGATTTAGGTTGTGATTTTTGGTGACTCCCACACTTTCATTGGCCCTATTTAGAGTGAACAGAGTGATTAAAAAAAGGAAAATATAATTGAATAAAAACCCTTCTATCTATTTACTCAGTTATTTATTCTTTTTCCAATTAACTTTTTTTTAATTAGTGAATTATATCATGTCTCATTTCAATTAAATTAATATTTTATTACAAACACAGTTCCAGTACATACAAAGGGATAAACTTACCGGAGACAATATCAGAAACAAACATGTTAAAAAGTAATTTTAAAAAGACAATTATCTGAAATCAACCAGTGAAACAACTTGATTATTAGTCTCCTTTAGTCATATAAAGCCTTTAAAGCATGTTCAGTCCTGCTAAGACAAACATTTGACTTGCTCTGGTCCATCAAACCTCCTGAGAAGCAGACATAAAGTGTCATTCTAGGCCACCTGCTGCCTTTGCAACTTTCTTTTTTGTAATTGGACCAGAGGAGCTGTGTACTGAGGTGTATAGAATTTATTAAACAACATTAATTCCATTGTGTACAGGATCCAAACTTGTGTGCTGGTGTGTTTGCCTGAGCATATAACGTTCTACATTGTGCATTTGTGTCTTTATCATCGGACAAATCCTCTCAAAATATATCCCCATGGTATTTTTACTTTGTTACATTAAACACTGTAACTGACAGATAGACATTTGGAAATTCTGACCTTTTATCCCCCCTTAGTTCGGCATATCATACTTTTTCACCATACTTTTTGCTGCACTGTATTTAAGATCAAGGTCCAGAACATAGACTGAAACAAATATTAAGCAGCTGTTGCAGCCCTCAAAACCACCAAGTCATCTGCAAACATCAAATGGTTTAAAAGAAGACTGCCAGCTGTGCATCCAATATAACAGGCCTTAAGTCTCATTTGCAACTCTTCCAGATGAAAAAGAAGGCTTTAATTTTACTATCATAATTATTATCACAGTTGTTATTGTCACACTTTTAGATTATACCAGCCATTTTGTTACCTTTCTTTTTCAAATAAAAAAATAAAAAGAGGACCAAGGATTATTGAGAATGCCCAGCTAACACTCCTCTGGTTCAGAAGTGTGTTCACACTTTGAAAGACTCAGTTGTAATTCAACCTTGCGAAACGTTGCAATTAAAAAGATTTAAATGACATGAATGAAATAAGTTATTTGGCGCTCAGACCCCGGTAGAAAACTTTAATGCTGTGAATTGACGTGCGCTCAGATGAATAACTTAGAAAAGGGATTAGAGTAGGTTTCCATACCGGAACCCGGACACTGGTGCTGGATTAAAATGGTGGATGAATAGGACTGAGAAAAGCCAGAGAGCAAGGGAGGAGATGGTGGGGAAAAGTTCAGCTAGTGTGCAGGAGGTAAGCCGGAGGAGGAGCTTTATGAAGGGGATCTTGAATATTGATTGACTGGAGCTTGATGTGGGACGATTTTTACAACTTATGTCTCCAGATTGAATTTTCACTTAAGCTTTTTATAAATATACACTGTTTCTTAGAAAAATGCTTGGATAGAGAAGGACAATGGTATAACGACTTAACAATAGGCCCATAAGCAACATTATCTGGGTGGCCCCCATATTAAGTACAACACGCCAGCCGTTTAAACGGCTCACCATCTCGTTGAAAACTGGCATGTGTTGCGGTATAAATACGGTCCGGTCAATCAACTCAGTATCAGGAGGGTATAAGAGGAATTTTTCGCACCATTACATCTGCAAAGAGATGTCCTAATCCACAATTTCATAGTTCAAGGTCAGGGGCCCCTAAGCAACTGCAGTCTCTGCGTAAAGATATTTACGCCATTACAGAAGGAACAGAAGGCTTTATCAGCCATAGCTTTTTAAGGTTTACTCTACATGTGGAAGGGTCACAAAGATTGTTTCTGGGACATCTGCTAAACCAAAAGTCTTCCACAGGATTCTGCATATAATATTGAACTTTATTGATCTCACACTGGATAAATCTACCTCTACATTTAACTCATCCCATTGGGGAGCAATGGGCTGTCAGTGTGCGTCATCCAGGTAGCAATGCTGGGTAAAGGGTCTTGCTCAGAGACCCAGAGTGCAAGCTGTGGGGATCGAAGCGGGTACTTGCAAACTCCTCAGAGCACAAGCGCACCACTATACCAACACTACCACCATATTAAATCTATTAAAATATATTTCTTTATTTTTCTTGCTCTCTTTTGGTTGTATGCAGTATTTTTTTCTATTATGTGTAAAACCCATGCCCTGCACATAAAAAAATAAACACTTGATATTTGTGTGATGAAACATCATCTATAACATTTTTAATTAATGCAAATGTGAATTTGTTATTTGGAAAAGACCTCTGGTTAGTATTGATAAGAATAATTGCATGTGGCTCACAGTTCACTTTTAGGTAGGATGGTGGCACCAGAGTTCAGTCCAAATCTGAGAAACCTTCTTGCAGAGGCTGCTTGAAGCAATCACAGCAGCAGCAGCAGCAGCGGTAAAGAGGAGAGGAGCAGGAGGTTGCAGCCCATCACGTGTCGAATAAATCAGATTTTGGAGACGGACGTCCACCGCTCGGCCCCCAAAACCGTTTGGTCTGGTGAAGCGCACAGCAGCCGCTCCAGTGTGTCTGCATTCATCCTCACCGACAGACAGGCTGATGCTGACGGAGAGCACATAACGTCTCCTGGATGAGGAAAGTTTTGCTGCAAGTTTGCCCTTTTTTTTCCACTTTTGTTTTTGTTCGTCAAAGAAACAAATTCTGCCCTTCAGAGAAGATCTCCATAGGCTACCCGAGCTTTTTTCTTTCTCTCCTGATATGGATTTAACTTTCACTTTTTGCTCCATAAGGGGGAACTTATGAGAGAGTGGATATATTGTAGTTCTTCCTGAAAATCAGCACAGAGGAGCAGATAAATGTGAGTATGATTCAAAGTGATGGTCAGCTTAAGCAGATACGATGAGGCTGATTGGAGCTTATTGGCTGTTGTCATTATGAAGCTGCAGAGGATGCTTTTAGCGCACAAAACAAAAACAGGATGTTGTGAACTTTTTTTTCAATGCAAATTAATGGTTGAAAATTTCAAATTACCTTGAAAAAGTTGAATAGAATAGAAGTTCCAGTGATTTTCTAAAATGCATGTTTTTTTCTTTGTAGCTGTGCGTCCTACTTCCAACTCTTTGTAAATATTACAAAAGCTCCACACACAGCCTATACTTTGAAGAGCGGCCAAGAAAAAGATTTACTGCCCGTTTTTTGTCGCTTGTGATTAAAGCCCCCCTGAGACGGAAACATTCCTCTCGGACTGTGCAGCATGGAGTTTATTGTCCTCGGAGCTGCTGCAGCCGCTGCAGCGCCTCATTCCTGCGCCAACTGAGCCCAAACCAAACGGTTCCACATGACGGCACAGCCACTGGGACGGTAGACTGATGTTCATTAGCCGTAAATTGGGCTCTTCCTTTCCCCCCAATTAATAAATTCATTAAAACTCCACAGGGCTCCATCACCTCGCACTGAAGTTGTGGTTGTATTGGTTGCTATGGTGCAGTTTGCCATTTTTTTTTTTTTTTTTTTTTTTTTTTTTTTTTACTTAAACCACAATAATACAGGGTTATGGTATATTTATTTCATTATATAAAGATTAGAATAGAATAGAAAATAGAATAGAAAATAGAGTAAAATAGAACAGAACAAAATAGAATAGAATAGGATATAATAGAAAATAGAATAGAATAGAATAGGACATTTATTGTCCCACAATGGGGAAATTCCGGTGTTTACTGTAGCAAAAAGATTATAGAAAACAAATGTCACAGAAATATGGACCTTAAAAAAGTCTATACAAATGTTATTAAATGTTAAACTGTAAATTCAGCCTGAATGTAACAACTTACTACAACTTACAAATGTTATAACTCTATTCCACAAATGTATCCTAAAGTATATGAATCTGCAAGCAGAAAAATGTGTTTTTCATCGAACACAAAGAAAGTAAAGCCTAGTTAAATAAAGTCAAATTCTTGAGGGCTACAACTTTTGATTGAATTTTTTATTCACTAGGCTACTCCAACTCTGGAGATGGCCACCATGTGTTGTGTTGGTTGGTCCAAAAGCAGTTAAAGGGATATCCTATGTTGTTTTTTTAGTTCTTGTAAAAGGTTAATAGCAGGTCATATGTAAACCATTATTGGAAGTTTATTTTGTCCATATAGTTGGTGTTAGAGTTCAGTTTAGTAAATAGTCATATAGAGATCAAATTTATAGCAGCCTTATACTGTTTTAAAAAACTTTTTTGCAAGGGTAATACAAGGCTCCACACTAGAGCAGATGCACCTTATATAGAGGCTATTCAGTCCAAAGCTGTATATGTTTCTCCTCCTCTTACTACTGTGTACCTCCCCTGTTGGCTACATTTTTAAAAGGGCAACTTGCCAAACAAAAACAAAAAAAGTTGTCTTGATGGTTTTTGCTACTGCTATTTTATCAAAAATATATTTAAAAAAAATACACTGTTCACATAGGGCAGCTACCTACATTAAAGGTTAATTTGATAGGAAATAAAGGAAGGATTTTGTGCACTACTATTGATATTTCAATATGAAACGCCTTTATAGTTGGACACCTAGAGTAAGTGTTTCCCAGACAGTACAAAGAAATATTATTATAGGACTCTAAGTGAATGCTTTTTGCTTGATTTTAGGCATTAACTATAAAAATTGTGCTTCACACAAAAAAGATCTTGTGCAGAATATTACACCCAACCTCCATTTCTTTGTAAATAACTACCTAATTCAAATATGATAACTGTTGTTAAAGTAAGTGTTTATAAATTGCTTTGACTTTTGGAGATTTTGAACGCTGTAAACCATCCACTTTCATTTATTTTATTTTATTTTTTCAAAAAAGGGACAAAATTTTTCAACCCCATACACATAAATTACAGCCAAGACTGATTAGCATTGTACATCCCAGCCAGATGGTACAGGCTAAATAGGTTAAAATACAGTAGAAAAGAAGTCCAATAAAGCAAAGGAAGTATCAAAATAAAATACATGACAGAAGAAATAAAGTACACACATTTCAGGTTAGTGGTCAACCACCATAAATTTTATAGACACAATATCACAATTTTATATTGTAACCAAGCGTCCCATAAACGTACAGGCTTCCACAGGCGTGTATCTTTTTTATACAAGACATTTACACAACTGGGAAGACGTCCCTAAATGCAGCATAGCTCCCATGCGTAGCAAAAGGCTTTGGTCTTAGCTCCTCCCCTACAAGCTTTTAACATCAGCCTCTGGGATTGACTAAACTAGATTTATGCAGAAACCAGAGGATATATATACATATAACAGAACATAACTTCAGAAAAACCTAAACTATTCCTCTCAGTATTCTCATATTTCTCACTTTCAAACTTTTTCTTGAGTTGTTGTTTTCTTGCATCACTGGAATTGTAACAAAATGCATGGGTTTATGCTGATGCAATCCCTCCTAATACAAATGCAGTGACAAGGATGAGCTTTAAAGTGTATTATTAATATTTAAGCGAGAACATTTTAAAGAAAAATAGTTAAACAGACCCATGCTGCTCTTGATGTGGTAAGAAGATGATTCTTCTTGTCACGCACTCTCATAAACTTAGGCTAAAGGACTCAGAGGGGCAAAAAAAAGTGAAAGTGTGGCTCTTTAACACAGTGTCTGTTACAACTGAGGCAGCACACATGCATAAGGAGGCCCGTGATGGCTTTTCCTGCTCTTCTTACATGCACATAGAGTGAAGTTTCAAAGACTAATGTGAGGCACAGAAACACAGCACTTAGTTTGGCCAACATTCATAGCATTTTAGTTTGCTCTGTGCTAAGCCTGTCATCCTCATGTCCAGGCAATCTGCTGTTCTGTCTGTGGTTTCCATTATGGCTCCGCTGAGCCTCGCTTGGCTGGCATGGTCTCTAAACCACAGACGTTTTCTTTGAGTTAACTGGAATTCTGACATGCTCATTTTACAAAGTCTGTCAATATAGTTGTTCCTCTTAGTCTGAAAACAGCTACATTTATTTAGTTGTGTTAATTAAAGTAGGTAATCTCTATTGCTTTTGAGGAACAAGCTTATATTTTGCATAGAGGCAGAGTTTGATTATTTCTGTGTAAATGAGAAGATCCTGACAAGTTAGAATGGTACCTAAATAAGAGACATGATAACAGCTTAAAATATCTTAGTTTCGAACTCTTCCTTCAAGCTTAATGTCTGTGTATATATTGTCCTTAAGTAATCAGTGATTTATGAAATATTGGAATATTTACAGAGCAATTGGTCTAATTTAATCTGCAGCAGCATTGAATGCTTCCTCTATCTTCCCATTGGGAAAAAGTTTTTTTTTGTGTGTTGTTACATCTTATATAGTGTAAGTATTTGCTCAAAGTAAGTAAAAGAAGTTTGCTTTTGTTTTAAGTGAAACACATCCAACCACAGCCTTGTTTGGTTTCACAATGCTGCAAAACCTAAATAATACTTCAGAGAAAACAGAGATGTCAAGTACAAAGCAGCAAATATGTTTTCTGAACAAAATGGAACACATTTTCCATTATGAGCAGTGAACAACGTAGAGGAAGATGAATCACGGCCATGATGTTTTCAGCTTTCTTTCAATTCAGTTTATCTGCAGAAATGCTCAGAATTGTTTGAGTCTGTATTTTAAAAGATGTTTAATGTTTTATAACTTCTAAAGATGTTGGTTTGGTTGGCTTCATTTAAAGGATTCAGAAATAAAACTTGGCCAGTGCTAAAGCTATTACTAATAATACACTCATTCAGTGCCTTTTGAATGTAGTTATGGGTCTTGGAATGTTTCCCATTTCATCATAGTATAACCACAAACTTCAATGGATTTTATTTGAATTCTCTGTAATTGATCAACATAAAGTGGTGTGTAATTTTTCAGTAGAGTGCAAATAGTAAAGTTTTTTTTTAATTTGGAGAGTTAAACATCTTGAAAGCATCACTTGCATATATGTATTCTACTCCTCGTGTGGTATTTCTAGCACCACCTTTTACTGCTATTACAGCTGCAAGTTTCTTTGGAGTATTTCTCAGCTTTGCCCATCAATAGTTTCTCTTTCAGATGAGAATAGAATCTGTGGAAATTAATTTCACAGTATTGTTATCAATTTTCAATTAGATTTAAACCTTGATTTTTACTTGACTACTCTAACACATAAAAAGGCTTCAAGCTAAGTTATTCCATTGTAGCTCTTTTTTGTATGATTTGGGTTATTGTACTGCTGGAGGGTGCTGTAAGGTGCCCCAGTCTCAATCATTTTACAGGTTAAAAAATATTCTTGCCAAGGATTCTGAAGAAAGGCATCTCCATATGATGATACCACATGCATGATCTCTAGACTAAGAGGCTTTTGTTGTCAGATATATTCCCTTAAAACCATCACATGAATAAAATACTATAAATTCATACTTCTGTTTTTCAGAAATTAAAGTAATAGCACCTGTTTTTTTAAGCGACAGTCAGCTACTCAGTTGGTGTCCTTGGCATGAACAGCAAATTTCTTTGTTTTTCTTCATTAAATCGTTTTAAACTACAAGGTTTACTAAACTTGGCTTGTACAATTGCCTTACCCAGCTGTGTCTGCTATATCCATTAGGCTGAGCTGCTCTGCAGAGGTCCTCTGCTGGAGATCAAGTAGAAAATGCATTATTTCAGTCGTGGCATTTGGTCAAAGATTCAGGCTTCAAAATGCTCCCTTTTGTGCTGTGGATGTTGAAGTTCATCCCCAGTGTTGCAGTAAAGTAAATCAATACTTAGACTACAAAGTTCATGCACAGTTAAGATTTTTAGGATGTCATGGATGTGTGCGTATATATTTTTTGCCAAGAAGAGAACTTGCGAAACAATCCATCTAATGGAATGTAATGGTGAATTTCTGGTGCTTGGCCTTTTAGTTCATGTTATTTAGAGTTTGTATTGTCTTCTTGAAAGAATTATGGATTTAAGCTCGATGTAGGACATAGGGGTAGAATTTACTACTAACTGCAGAAAACCATTAGCAACACTTTATCAAATGACATACTTTAAAACAAGAATCTAAAGGTTTCTTACTGCTCAACCTAAATGGATTTTCTGACATTAAAAGTTAGCATTTTCTGTGTTGTGGGCTTTGAATTATGGCTGACTGAAATTAGGCCTGGAATCTTGTGTACATATGGCCAACATCCAGAGGACCTCAATTATAATGCTGTCGAGCCAGAAAAAGGGAAAGAGGTAGACTGTGTGGAGCCCTTCAATTCTGCTGTAGCCTTCTACTCTGTCACTCAAACGCACCGCTACTACCGTGGCTGAGACAGATCAGTACACTGTGCTCACAGACACATGGGAGGGATTTAGAGGTACAATCACAAACACACACATGCACACACAGGCGTGTTGTGAATGTTTCCATGTAAGTGTCTGTTAAACCACTGGGGGGAGCCTTGGAAAGCTTCCTTTAAGAAACTTTGCTGTTTAGACATTCAATACTGTGTTTTGTTCATCTTTATATGTTTCCTCCAAGTTAAAATACAACTTTTACAAAAACAAGAAAAGTAGTTTTGAATTACTCAAATCCAGAGAGAACCGCATAAAACTTGGAAACCAGTTTCTGTATTTGATTCAGAAGACACAATAATTTGCTATGCGCCAAACACTTAGTGGTTAAGGATTATTCAGCAGATGGTGACTGTCTTGCTGAACAGTTTCCACTCAGCTTCAGTGTGTCTCTCTTTCTCAGTTACAGATCGTGTGTGGTGCTGTGGGTGCAATGCCAAACTCAGTGGAGATATGTTCTACTGATAAAATAATTTTATTTTATTTTCATTTAATTGAGAAAAAAAATATTTTTTTGGACGGATCAACATGTTTTGCTAATAGAAGTGTTTTCTCACATTTTTAGATAAATTATAAAAGACAGTAAAAAAAGATTGTGTAACTGATTTTTAAACTACATATGTCCATCAAAAGAATATATATGTCAAGGGACTTGTGTACTGATACCAGGGGGAATTTCCCAACAGCTGCATTTTAATGGTGCATTGGAGAACATCTCATACATTAGAATGTCAACATATCAAATTAACATAAAAAAAATAAAAATATACTGACCTGCAACCTTACCAGAGTACTTACTAAACCATAATTGGTTTTACTGTTAAGTTAGATGCCATTTGAAGGATATTTATATCATATATAATGGGTTATTTTTGTGCCAGACTTTACTCTTTGAAATATGAAATAAAACATCAGCATTGTTGTTTGGCTATTATCAAAATTAGATTAGATTAGATTAGATTAGATTAGATTAGATTAGATTAGATTAGATTAGATGAGCTTTATTGATCTCACAGCAGAGAAATTCACTTGTCACATATTGGCATAGAAGTCAAAGAAGGTGCAAACAAGGAGGAAATCCCTAAACAGTTTCCATTGTATTACTTATCGAAAGCAGTCTTAACTATAAGGAGGCAAGACTTTGTAGAAATATACATTTAACAATAAGGTGTGTTTGTAATATCCTTAATATCTATAGCTTTAGTTAAAGGATTAAAAGCAGATGTCAAGAAAAAAAGAGTAGTTAAGTTTCAGTTAAGCTAGTTAACCAGTATAGTATCACATATGGAATTAGGTTATTGCAGCCATCCATCCATCCATCTTCTAACACGCTTAATCCCAAGTGGGGTCGCGAGGGGTGCTGTTGCCTATCTCCAACTGTCAATGGGTGAGAGGCAGGGTACACCCTGGACAGGTCGCCAGTCCATCGCAGGGCAAGACAAAGACAAAAAACCACTTATGCACACACTCACACCTAAGGAGAATTTAGAGAAGCCAATTAACCTAACACTAATGTTTTTGGACTGTGGTAGGAAGCTGGAGTGCCCAGAGAGAACCCACACATGCTCAGGGAGAACATACAAACTCCATGCAAAAAGACCCTGGGCCAGGGATTGAACCCAGAAACTTCTTGCTGCAAGGCAGCAGTGCTACCCACTGCCCCACAGAGCAGCTGGGTTATTGCAGCTTCTCTATACTTCCCCTAACAGATTTATCATTGTTTAATTCATAATATAGAACATTATGTAACCTTAATGGTGACGTACAGTATAGACTTTTCACTTCCATTCTAAATGCAATGAAAACATTTTCTTCCAGCTTTACAAGAAAATGTGCTCCTACAAGAAAAATGCAGGGTGTCCAAAATGTGATTTTCTCACCTGCTTTGTAAGAAACACTCCAAGACTCCCTGTCTGAGAGGATATGCTGTGGCCTGTTGTTTTCTTTTCTTTTGCCTCTATAGAAATGAGGGGCTTTTAAGAAGAAACAAGGTGTTGACTTATTAGCTGAGCTAAGACGTGTTGGAAAATGTATTATTCTAGGCCTTTTCTGAGGTATGTTAGAAAATTCAGCCAAAAACATCTGAGAATGTGTTAAAGACATTTCTATTTTTTCTTAAAATATAGCAGAAATATGAAATACTTTCCTTATTCCTGGTGTTGTGACATTTTGATATGACTCAGGCTTCCCTCTTTGTGTATTTTCAGGCTTAAAACGAAGAAGCAAAGATGAAGACAGCTGCCAAGGGTCTTGGAAAGTCTAAAATGGATCCATTGCACTCTGAGGGTTGGTTTGGCATCAGGATAGTGTTAATGGTATACGTACTATTGGAGCTTTTAACACTCAATTCATCTTTTGTTCTTGGGACCCTTGAGCTACAGCTAGATGAGGAACAACCAGCTGGGACAGTTGTGGGGGACATCAGCGCAGGACTTCCACCTGGTGTCACAGCTTCTTTATATTTCATATCTGACCATGAGGGCACAGGAGTGGGTAGTGATTTGGACATAGACGAAAGCACAGGTATTATTAAAACAGCTAAAGTTCTGGACAGAGAGTTGAGAGACAGATACAGCTTCATTGCAGTAACCATGACAGGTGTGACTGTCGAAGTGACTATCAAAGTAAATGATATAAATGACCATGTTCCGAAGTTTCCCAGAAAAAGAGCCACATTTAAAATTCCTGAGCAGACGGCTATTGGCACAAGATTTCCTCTCGAGCCAGCTGTGGACAGTGATAAGGGAGAGTTCACCACACAGGGCTATATTATTAAGGATGGAAATGTTGGCCAGGCATTCACCTTAGAGACAAGAAGAGGAAGCAGTGAGGTTCTCTTTCTCGACTTGGTGGTCAACGGCATTCTAGACCGAGAGAAAAGATCAACCTACACATTATTGTTAGAGGCCTTTGATGGTGGTTCACCCAAGAGGACTGATCAGATGACCTTAGATATTATCGTACAAGATATTAATGACAACGCTCCTGTTTTTAACCAGAGCCGCTATCATGCAATAATATCTGAGAATCTCCAACCAGGAAGCAACATCCTGCAGGTTTTTGCAACAGATGCTGATGAGGGAGATAATGGACTGGTACTATATGAAATCAACAGGAGGCAAAGTGACCCAGATCGATACTTTGTTGTGGACACTAGCTCTGGCATCATTACATTGAACAAGCAGCTGGACTTTGAGATGAGAAGAGTACATGAACTGGTGGTCCAGGCTCAAGACAACGCAACCCACCCTGAAGTAACCAATGCCTTTGTAACCATTCATGTCAGAGACTACAATGACAACCAACCCACCATGACCATCATCTTTTTGAGTGAGGATGGCTCTCCAAGAATCTCAGAAGGTGCCCAGCCAGGCCAGTATGTAGCACGAATCTCAGTCACTGACCCAGACTATGGAGAGTACGCTAACGTCAATGTGTCATTAGAAGGCGGAGATGGAAAGTTTGGCCTGACAACAAAAGATAGCATAATATATCTTGTATGTGTGGACCAGATTCTGGACCGGGAAGAAAGGGACACCTATGAGCTGAGGGTGATGGCGACAGATTCAGGCACACCTCCACTTAGGGCGGAGTCTTCCTTTGTCATCCAGGTGACTGATATAAATGACAACCCACCTCTTTTTGATCATCCAGTGTACAGACAAGTGATCCCTGAGGTGGTCTTCCCAGGCAGCTTTGTGTTGCAGGTAACTGCGAGAGATAAAGATCACGGGCCAAATGGGGACATTAACTACAGCATCCTCGAAGATCCCAGTGGCTACTACAGCTGGTTCAGTATCGACTCCATTACGGGCATAATCACCACGTTATCCCAGCTTGATTATGAAAAGAACCCTAATCCCAGTATAACTGTTGTAGCCACAGATGGAGGCAAACCTCCCCTTTCTTCCACATCAGTGGTAAATATCGTTCTTCAGGATATAAATGACAATGAGCCTGTTTTTGAGAGAAACTTCTACAACGTCTCCATCAAGGAAAACACGCCACCAGGGACCTGCATTCTTCAGGTAGGACTTTTTTCTGGGTTTTATTTTAATAAAAGCCTGTAAAGAGATTGATGTCCTTAAACTGTAGGCTGAGTTCCAAAGCGGTTGCATGCAAATCCCTGACAACTCTGGAAATTAAACAGATGTTAATTAATCAGATCAATAGCAGACAATGTTATGGTTGTTTTGGTAGGTCTTCTTATTTTTCTGAGACAAACCTATTTTTATTGTTACAGCTGTTGAAATTGCATGGCCTTATTGAGGATTTACCTGTGATTTTAGGCCAAGATGTTTTCCATTTTGGCTGTCCTTTCCTTCACCTCTTGAAAGGTTTCCAGGGTAACAGGGGCAGTTTAAAGTACCCTGTCAGCTCAAACACAAAAGGGTTTTTCACATACACAGGCAGAGACAAATTCAGGGCTTTATGTGAAGAATTATATGTCATGTCACTTTTAAAAGGCACCTTAATTAGCCTTATTCATTGTAAAAAAAATTGGCAGAAGATGACAAGATTAATGAAAGTTCAGATAAATTACAGCTCTTTATTCAATAACAGTTTTCTTTCATTGAAAATTTTGTTTTCTAAACTGACAATTTTAATGAAAAGGAAAGAACTACAATGGTAAAGAAACTTAGAGGATGTTTAATGTCACTCAAGTCATTTATCTTTCTAGAGTTGCGTTTTCTTATAAAACGTGTAAAAAACTGTAACTAGTGTGGTAGTAACTTGTAAATTATCTAATCATTTTTAAACATATTTTCTTAGCTATGGCACAAAAAAATGACATTTTATTTTCAAGCACAAATAATTATGCTGTAAGAAAGAAAATACCAGAATAAGAGTTTTATTCTTGTTTCAAAGCAAATTAACATTTTTATATGGACAGTCAATTTTGCTACAGCATCTTATTTAAACTAAGAGTGTAATTAGTTCATAAATCAGTTATCTCCTTGTGTACCCTGTGTAGAATGCAAATTCTTACCCTGTCCTTCCAAATGGTTACAATCATGTCCAAAAACAACATGCTGAGAACCTTAAACAATACTATGTTCCGAAACAGAATCAAGTTTATTGCCAAGTAGGTTTGCACTTACAGTACAAGGAATTTGACTTGGTGTTGTTGGTGCAGACAACAGCCCTGCTATTGGTTTTAAAAGTCTTGGTTTATCTCACTCTCTCACAGCTAAATGGAGCACAGACATGCTTTAAAAAGTCATAAACCTTACAGGTTCCCTTCAATGTTATTATAGTGAAATAAAACTAATATAAAAAAAAAAAATAAAAATTGAAATGGAGAAAAGTTTTTATTCATTGTTATGAATATGAATAGTAATCAAAAACTGAAACTGTATTGTGCTATAAAACTAAATGAAATTTACTTAAAATATGACAAAAAATATATTGCCTTGATAATTTTTTATTGCTTGTAAACTGATGCAAAATTTTTTTTTCTTTAAATAGGACTCAGTTAAAGTCAACTGTAGTTGTACCAGGTTTTAATATTTTTTTCCCCTAAATTTTTATTACTACTTAAATGAACAATTTATATACACAATTCAACCTGGAAAAACTCACATGTAGAAAAGAAGTGATAAGAGGCCTGTCAGTAGGTTGGTCCAGGTGAGGATGATGAGAGTCTTCCAGATGAAATTTTATGCTTAAGCTCCATTAATCTGACTTTTTTGAACCCTGTGTCTTAAAATTTACTGAATTGGGAAAAACATACTATTAGAACTAATGAAATCTAATCTAAACTAAGCATTATTAAACAAATTGTAACTAATAAAAACTTGCTAAACAAATTTAAAAGCTAATTAGAACTTACTGAATTAGTTACAACTACTTAAAAAAGCTAAACTAAAAAAAAAAAAAAAAATCCAAACATATTATAACCTCTGTTCCCTGCTAAATGATTTTCATTTAAAAATCTCAGTGAGAAAAAAAACTTTGAGGCATCCTAACTTTGCACGTGAAAACTTAATCTAAACCAAATAATGTATGTTTTGGTGGGCAACAAATCTCCATGATCACAGTTTAGGACTGACCTCACACCATTCATAATCGGGTGCCTTGATGTGTGGTGGACCTTGAAGCCAGTGCTTTAGACTTTTTTTTGGCATGCTTAGATGTTGCAGTCATGTGTATTTGGCGGGCCATGTGAGAACAGACTGCTTTTACTTAGGGTGCCAGCTTTACATCCAAACATCACAGCAGGAAGTCGACAAATGCCTTTTTTTCTCAGTAGATGAAATTCACTGTCTCTCCCCTTTGCATCCATAGCTCTGGTTAAAAAAAAGCCCATTACAATAAGGGCATTGTGATCATTAATTCAGAGGTTTGACGGTTCCCTATTTATTTTACTCTGTGGGTCACCAGCACAGCAGTTTATCATTATTCTAATAAATTCTGGCTCCACACTTCTGCGCCTGTGCTGTTCTGTCTCAATCAATGATACATCACTTGATTTGTTAGATGATTTTATAATCAGATGTAGTGGGGTGTTTAGAAAGAGCTGAATATAAGCCTGTAACAGCAATTAATCTTGTAATCCATCATTGAAGATCAGCTTTAAAGAAAATAGTTGTACTGGATGGTAAATAAAGTATTTAAGTATTAAAAACATTAAACTTCAAACCAAAGTTTTTTTAAGGCATCACAGATTTGAACCAATTTTATTAGTATCTAAATTCTGCTAACATGATAAAGACTCAGTTCTTTGTTTTACACTTAATTACAAATGTGGGAATCAAAAGAAAACTACTCATATGATTAAGTAATTAATTTGACCCATACTATGGTCATTTAATAATATGCTAGCAGCACAAGCTCCGGATCCATAAAATCCATTAGTACGAAATATCATGGCTGCAATGAGGGAGAGACATTTTTGATATGCAATAAAAGTAGTTTAATAAATCTCCCTTTCCCCCCAGCATGCACTTGATAATTATCTGATAATATGGCTTGTACAATTATGTCACTTGGAAAGTCAACTCGTTTTTTTGCCGTGTCGAAAATTTAATAAAGGTCTTTTCCAGGTATGGTAGAGAGGAGGGTCAAAAATTCAATGTGCAACAATTTTATCATTTAAACTCAATGGAAGTTTAAAATGATCACCCAAATGATAAACCTGCTTCATTATGGATCACTATGTCGTTTTACATTTTACAATAAATCTGGTGGGTTATTGGGTCGTGTGTTTACTCATCAAGTGGCAGGGATAATGGGATAAATAAAAACGGTGTGGTGGGATTCACTCACAGTAATGTGTCAGAAATTGAGTGAAATTCCCCCTTAGAGCTAAGCTTAATGTTGCAGTCTACGAGCTTGCCTTTTAATACAAGCAAAGTATGCAGCATCATCATCCTGTTATCTGCATTGTACTGATCTACCTATCTCTCAAATCGATTGACACCCGATTATTGTGCAGTACCTCTCTTCTGTGGCCACTGTAGAATCTTGCCACACTAAAAGCTGTCTTTTGTTTCTTATATTTTACACCATACATATTACATGATCCCGTATATCCCCTCCCAGTTCTGTGTTTTAGTGTCAGTAAGTGCAATTTTTTCGGGACACAATATTGCTCAGTCCAATTCAGTCCCTTATTCTAAGTCAGGTTTAAAAAGACTGAGGTTTAAGGGCTTGGACTAAACAGAGGGATTTGAGGACTTAAGAACATGACTGGATAACCGTACAGAAGGATGACCTTAAAGGGCCTCCTGAGATGCTATTTATACAGTATATATGCGCAGCAACAAACCAAGACTTTAGTCTATTAGTACAGAAATATTAATTCTGTCTATGCTCTGTCTGTACTGATGCAAACTGTTCAACTGTCATTGTTGCTGAAAGGTGTGAGCTCAGGTAATCTAATTGCATTAGGGGACAGAGGGCCCCATAGGCAAAAAATGGCCAAATATATTCTTTGACTCTGCACAGTTAACTTCCATAATCCTGATGCACACACAATGTACATAGCATGCTGCAATGGAAGTGACACTCCTGCTTCTAAGATGTGATAGGCCTGCGTTTTTCTCAAAATCCATCATATTTTGTCACGTTTCATCTATAGGCCTGCATTGTCAGGGTTTGGTTGTGCTTTGGAGGACTCAAATGCAGAGGCAGAGAGGCTGAGGTGATTTGTTGTAGATTTAATCAAAGGAAACAGTTTAACAAAGGCAGGAATCCAAAAAAAACAACTAATAATTTGTAAAACAAACCAGAACTTCGGAGACATATGGGGAAACCAAACACAAGGAGCCAGGGAGAGACGAGGCAGGCAGACAACAGCATGGGGGGACAGCAATGACAAGGAACCAACAAAGAGTGAGAGCAGAGGGAGAGCATATGTAGCTGACTGAGACAAAGGCAGGGCTAACGAGCTGACAAGGAGCAGGTGTGAGAAGAGATAACTAGGGAGCCAAAGGGGAAAGGAACACACACACACACAAGAGGGCAACAGAGAACAGAAAAACATGAGAACTAACATAAATTTAGGAATTACAACAAAAAAGGAATAAAACCAATAAAACTAGGAAACATGGAGCAAAGTAAAGCACAACAGAAACAAGACCATGACATGCATCACATTAAAAATGAATTATGTAAGGTAATGGAGAGTTTTTTTTCATCATGTCCACCAACATCTGGTTAAGGTGTTGATATCTACTGCAGTGAGTCTATATCAAGTTGGCTCATAATATTATTGGCATTCAACGTGTGAGGTCACAACCCTTTAAATTTTCATGCCAACATCTGTTGTGTTTGAACTAGTTATATGGGCTACTAACAGGGCACATAATGAAACTGCAATAGCGACGTGTCTGTGATGAATTGTGTAGCCCTCAGAAGATGCATAACAGGCTAACATCTATGGAAGATAAAGAACTACTTCCCTAATTCAAACAGCCTTGATTAGAATGAGGTTGATTTATCTTAAAGAGGTTTTATCTGAATTATCATCATCATCATCATAGTCATCATAATCATTTGTTTATAAAGTGCTTTAAAAACTAAG